TGGAAACGTGAGTGCTCAAAAGAGTGCTAGTTTCCGCCTTTTCGTTTTTAGCAAAACACTTTTCAAGTTCAGTAAAAACGATTTGGCATCAGCCTCATTAGATATTGTGACCCTGAATGATTCTGGAATTGCACGTTTCATGATCATTAGACTCATGCAGTTTGAACGTTCCTACCTCTCCATCTTCCTCTTTTCGTCAAGGGTAGATGTGTACTTAAGAGCAACAGATTTCTCAGTCCAAAGTGTAAGCCTTATATCCATGCAGCTGAGAACAATCGTAACGTTTTTCCATTCCTTAAAATTCGTGTCATTAAGCATAGGGATGCTATTAATATTAGTAGATATTGTAGCAGCAGATCGTTGACTGAAAGAGAACAAAGAATAGTATAAATGACATGCTATAAGAACTAAAATTAACTTAATAATTACTCCGTAATTTTAAATATTAGCAATCTCCATAACAAGATACCTAACACAACATCTAATCTTGTCTTCAGACATAAATTAGACTTGCAAGTGGTACTCTTGGTGTAATAATAAAATTTTGATAATAAAATCATACGGAGTATCAAATATCAAGCCTTTCTTTGGACCGACTGAAAATTCACATGAAAACCTCATAATCATCACAATTTTATTATCATAAATATTCTTAAGTTTCAGCCAAATAATAACCTTCCTTTGGGTCGATTATTATTCGCATGCAATGAGAAAGTACAAAATCATCTTAATATATGAGTTAATTAATTTCAACGAGAGAGGCTACTTTCACGGCATATTGTGTCAATTAATCAACCCAAATATAAGATATGCTAATATTAAATCAAATCTTAAAAAATGCATATTTTCTAAGGATGTTTTTACTTGGACTGTAATTAGTCCCAGATCAGACCAGACCAGACTTGAATAGTTATAAAAATACAAAGAAACTAGACCAAACCAGACCAGACCAGACCAATTACAGTCCAAGAAAAACATCCTAAATTCCTAAGTCACATGTGAATATGTTATTTATAATAATAATTTGTAGAACTCGTACTCTTCGCTATGTGATCGCAAAAGAAGGTTTATGCATCCATAAAACATAATACTATGTACATATATATTTCATCCCACAAAACACGACCACCAAAACAATCAATTTTAATAATATCGAAATTATGTATTGGTGATAGAACTGATATTGACCATAAGTACATACTAGGTATTACATATAAGTATATAATTATCAAAACCAGTAATTACATACATATATTTTATCACCAAAGTCATACTAAATTCCAATATTTTTTTTAAAAAAAGTAAATAAACACATGATATACGTATGTACATTACGTACTCCTTGAGTACTGATTTACCGATTAGCAAATTAATGTTCGAACCTAAGAATTGAAGAAGAAGAAAGAAAAAAGAGCACATTTTGTATCACCTTCCAGAGCTATTCAATCGCAAAATTGACTGAACCCAAAAACAAAATTAAAAAAATTAACTTGACTTAGTCCAAAATAATAGTTCGGCAATTATGAAAACCATAATAATGGTATAAAAGGAATCACCATTAAATAAATATATACGGAGTACTACGTATACTCCTTGAATCGCTAAATTGTTCCACCTTTGGATCACCAAAAGCACCGTAATTGCCATTTGCCTACAACTCCAATTACAGATAACGTTGAAGTAGAATTCCAATTGACATAAATTGGAGACACTCAAAACGATTACATATAAATTTAATCAGGAACATCTCAATGAGATCAATCGGGAAAAAAAATCAAAATAAATGTATATTCATAAAAACAATGACAAATGCTAATGCGATTAAAAACAAATATGAAACTACGATTAAAACATAATAATTCATTGCAGTCATCAACTGCTAATTCAACGTAGGAAGACAGTAGGAACAAATTGCACAAATGCAAAATTGTGTTACCCTTATTCCATTTAATTAGCAGATTATAGGATGAAAGAAATCCCATAGATTCAATCGTTTAGGATTGAAACAAAAGTATAAAAATTTCAAATAATTCAATATGGAATTGAAGAGACTATGTTACCAATTGTTGAAATAAATCCGATAATACTTTAATGAGTTTAATCTTCATATTGAAATTATCTAGACAAAAAAATAAGTGGAAACATACCTGACTCCATTGAAGATGATCTTTACAGACCAGGGAGACGGAGGCTAGGGTTTGCAGAAAGACGGAATGAAGTGCTCAACCAGGGACCACAATTCCTCTATTTATAGAGAGTGTTCAACCCTAATCAGCCCATCATTAATTAGGTTAAGTTCCTGGGTTTCTACACATTTGAGTCATATACTTATTGGATAATATATTAGCCCACTTAAATTAATATCCATAGGGCCACTAATTTTTGGGCCTATATGATAAAATATAACATAATACGTACAATTAAACTCAATAAATATTATATTGTGAATATTACATGTAATATGAGTTCATTAATCTAACAATTATTGCCATATTTAAGAAATAAACTTATAACATACAATTTAAACTCTTATTTAGGAAATAAAACATGATATCATATTTTGGTATTTCTAAACATTTTTACTATTAGTTCAGATTTTTCCCTAAAAGTTACAGAGAACTATATAATCACTTCACATAAATAAGAAATTACGGTGTGTCTTTATTTTTATTTCAATCCTATAAGAGTGTCCCTATTTCAAAATAAAAACAATATACTTCAATTCGTATATGGATTGTCAAATACATGTACTCCGTATTTATCTCCTTATTTTGAGTAATGAATTGAAGCATATATGGCTGCATTGATGTTGGCAACACACGTTTTCTAATGCTACAATATATCATTTGGTGGTATAATAAAGTGTACATATGTTATACTTACGAGACCTGGCCGGGGTTGATAAATTGATACCACTTCTGGATAATAATATACACACACGGAGTATATCTTTAGATTAACATTAGAACTGGTCCGAAGTTATCTCTGTTTGAATCATTTTCAATCTGTTTAAAGTCGATATCTAATAGAAATGTATTTTACTACGATTCTATTCTCGCCTAAATTATTTGTTTTGATTTCATATAAACATGGGAGATTTCGCAATATAGGAGCCTAGTTAAATACGGTACGAGAATTAAACGATTTTTTATACGTACGCGTTTTATTCGGTAACATGAATGAAAAAAACGGTCAAAAATTCGTTGAAAAAAATGTTGACTTTTAAAAAACGTGTAAATACGTATACATGTATAATACGTTGTCTATTACAAAATTTCGGACGAAAAATACGGGTATTATTTTGAACATTTATATGATATATTTCATAAAATAACATACGAGTATATAGTAAAAAAGAAATAAAAGTACACACATATTCAAGTAGCAAATCTCATTACTACATACAAGAATAGTTCGTAATTGCATAAGTCGATGACAAAAATAAACAGAGTAATTAAGTCCAAGACATAATTTTGAAAAATAATGTCAAAAAATCATTATCTTTATATGATTATCAAATAACACTCAAGTTAAACTCATCATTTTCATTAAGATGACAGATGACATATGACAAAAGTTGTGTGATTGCTACACTTATTATTGTTTGTGTAAAAGTTTATGCTAAAAACGGTAGGTTTAGAAAAATCTTAATTTTGATATGCTAGCTTGAAAAACATCGGAAATCTTGTAGTATATTACTACATAAGTTTTAGTATTTCAGGATGCTAGCTTTAGCCATAATGCAATTAATTTTAGTATTTAATAATTGCACAGTAACAATAATAAAACACGAGATCATGGGGAGGACGTTTTCATTTTTACTTTTACACTATTGTTGATCTTCTATGCATTTAGTGCATTCATTTAATTGGTCAATTCATGTTTATGTTTTTTGTAAAATACGGGAAAAATACGTTTTATACGGGAAGTAGGAGTTTTTTCCCTTTTTAAACGGACCGACATTTCCCCCCTTTTTAAACGTGTTTTTTTGGTAAAAAAAACGGTACGTGTTTAAAACGCGTTTAAAACGGAAAAAAGCTAACTAGGTATAGGAGTAAATGAAATTTGGAATTCCAAAATACGACTATTATGTTTTTATTCTCAGTATAAGACTAACATGTCAACATGTAGGCGTGATTGCCAAAACTTGTAATACAATGCATTTAACATGACAATATTTATTATAATTAATGACAGTATTTTTCAATCATGACAGTTTTTTTCATCTTTTTCATACATGAATACATGATAGTAACAATTCTTATTTCAAGAAAAAAAACATAGTAGTCCTATTTAGGAATTTCAAATCTCATTTACTTATATTTAGGGCAATTTCTTTATAAACATCCTTGTTTAATCTGGTTATTTTTAAGTTTGATTTAATCTTGATTCTTGTGTGAATTAAACTTTAAAGCGTTTTTGGTACTTTTAAAACTTGAATGGTCTACTTTTAACTTTTGCATTTCCGGTTCTTCAAATATTGTGAGAGAAACATTTTGAGTCGTCAATTTCAAAATTCTTGACATTTAATCTTATGAGTATTTAATTCAAAGTCGACACTTATAATTTTGGCATATTGAATGATAATATAGTTGAAAGACAAAAAATGCCACGTTTATAAATATCGAAACAATATACTCCAAAACTTTGGGTATGGAAATTTGAAATGAGAAGTACCAAGATTCCTTTAATTCACACAATATTGAACTAATTTAGATGTTGACATTGTTGTTGATATTGCAGGGAAAAACTTACCAAAATTGTATAAAATCATTCAAATAAGGAGAGAAATAATTTATTTGCTAATATTTATGTGGCTATAACTCATGCCACATGTGCACCGTGGACATGATAGCATTGGAGATGTTGTTAGAGCACCAAAATAACAAAAACATAACCTCAAAACACAGTTACCAATTACGGTCGTTTAATTAGTGTCCCATAAACACCTGAACTGCTCGTACTCTATATATATTATATACATACGAAGTATATATTTGATCTTATCCAAACTGTTTTATAGATTAAACAACGTGCGTGAGTGACGGAAAATGGCGAAGTGCGAGGATCGGATCGAAGAGGCCATCTCTGATATGGAACTTGGCGGACGCACCACCGGTTCTGGAGCGCCGCCGCCGTCATCCCAGAATGATCGTCCTTACGCCACCGCCGGCGCAGCTGTATTCTCACCCACTTCCGCTGTAACCATAATTCAAAAGGTATCATTATTAATTATTTCAAACATTATTTATCACGATTCATTTACAGAACAACAATAGGGTTAATTAACTATTACTCACCGATTAAAAGAGATCAGAGATGTGTTGTATTGGAGGATAACTTAAATTTCATATAGTTAATGACTAGTTGACTACTGACGATATATACTCATTATTCATCGGCAGTTATATTGATCTAGAATTTGAGATTGTTAGAGTATGTTTTGGCATATTACTCCGTATTTAAAAGTATGAAAGGAAAGATAAATTAAAACGTAAAAACGGTAATAAACATTTAAATATATATATCTCAAAAAGGAAAATTAAATGTAATAAATTTTATTTATGTTATAATTTGATGTTTCATTCCAAAGGGTCAATCCTAATAGGAGTGACCTAGATCTTAATATAGTGCATTAATTATTTCACAATTTTTAGGCGTGTTATAACTTCAACTCCCTCATCGATCACGATCAGACTCGTTGTCTGAATCGTGTCTTCATTCATTTTCTCATTAATTAGGTTGTTGTTGTTATTTTTTATAATCATCGTTCATTTTTAAGGCCCACGCCATTATTATGGATCAAATTGTTTCTAATATCAAGTTAGGATATGGGGTTTCGTCATAAAAGGTTAATAAGAGGAGTAGTCCATATTTAATACTTCGTACTCCGAATGATATACTTTGTTACTTCACAATTTTCCAGCGTGACTTTAAAATAGACATTGGGGAGTATTGTGGGCAAGACTTATACGAAGCATGTTAAAATATGTTTTTGTGCTTATAAATATCTAAAATATTATAAACATGAATGAAAGTTAGGATCTTTTTGGTATATTAAATGTGTTGGTGTAACACAAAGCAACATACTCTTGTACATTATGCTTCCATCATTATACCAAATATTTTTATTGTTCTTTTCTTCCGTTACTTGACTACTGCCGTCAAAATTAAGTCTTTCAGTCCCTTAGGCATCTAGCCGTTTTAATTATGCGTTTAGCCTCATTTCCTTGGCCGCAAGTATGTACAACATCAAATAGAAATATTGTTTTATTTTTTTCGAACGTACTTTTATTAGTTGTATATTGTGCATTTTTATGTATATAGCGCATATGTATTTTCTTATCATACCCAATTAACCATTGTTTCAAATAATAATACGTAATAATGGTAGTTAGCATTTTTCACCACTCATTTTAAGTGTAATTATTATAAATTGCATTGATGCATGTAAATGTCATGATGTTTTTATATTTTTTTAATGGTGACAACTTCGGTACCCTTTTAAAAAATGTGGTACCGTACCTACCACTCATTTGATTGGACCACATCATTTTATCAGTTTTAATTTAGATTTAAATAATTCAACTGCTACATTCTCATTGGTCCATGTGGACAAAGGTATGGTACCTTATGGGTACCATAGAATCTACCTTTTTTAATATGTCATTCTAAACATTTATTCACAAGAGTAGACATTCCATTATTCATTCCCTCAAATACAATCAATAGCATAATTCTAATGAATTAGATCATATATAAATGGGTTTTTAAGCATTAAAAGTTTTAGTTATTTTCAATCAAGTGATAAGAGAATAACAAAGTTGATAAGGATTCAATCAATAATCTTTTTTTATTATATTCGGAAGGGAGATTGCTATCAAATATATCGATTTAGAGCCCTGTTGGTGACTTTTTTAATTGTTGCGTTATCGGTTTTATCAGTCAATTTTTTCATGAAAAACGTAACTTTTGGTTTCACGCGTTGCATTGTATAATAATCAAAATAATTAAAGTTGATGTTATTTTCCGAATTAATTGGCTAAAGTTACTCTAGGTGGTCATTTAAGTTATTTTCGTAGAATTCTTTCTTTATTTTAATAATATTTTTTTCATAAATCCATACAATCAGCCAATTCAGATAGAACTTTCTAAATTTCGGCTAAATCAACTAATTTTAGTGTGACGAAAGGGACTCTATCTTAATCTATATTCTTTCTAGATTCAAAGACCCGGCCTCAAATCACAACAAATATGAATACATACCTTGTAAAAGTAAGAACTCTGAAATACACATTATTTAATAAAATAACCTAGACAAATATGATGGAATTGTAATAAATATAACTTCACAAATAAAAAAGAAAAAATGAATTTAAGAAATACGAGCAGAGGGTAAAAAAGAAGAAATGAGAGGGACTTTTGCTCCTTGCTCTCGATCGTTTTTGTCTTTTATCACATTATTTCACTTTATTATACTCAAATCTGAGTTACGTCTTTTACCTTTTCAATCACTTTATTATTAATAATTGTGCCAAATCAAAGCAAAACATCTAAAATAGGGTAGATGTATTACTATTAACTGATGAGTGATGAGCACTTGATAATAGAATAACTTGTGTTCACCAAAAAAAGAGTATTGAAATATGAGCTCATACTATTTTGATGAGCAACTTTTGTAATGCACTTTAGATAGAAGTGGCAAGAATGTTCGCTTTGTGGAATAATACCATTCCGCAACTTTAGGGACCTCTAGCCATTAGTGGTCCATATAAATAATTCTTGTAGTTTCTAAAGTGGATGAGATGAGAAATAGCAAGTAATCCTTATAAATAATCACAACTTTTAGTTTGTACACTTAATTTCTATTTAAAATTCACTTGTTATAGGAGGTAATATCTGGTCATGGACCATTATTGGCGGACGGTCTATATAGTTGAGATTATACAAAAATAATCAATAGTTTGTATTATTGTTAGCGGACCGGCAATAGTTGGGATTATTATTTTCAATTTTTCCTATAAAATAAATAAGTTTATATTGGTTCCAATTCTTCCGACAGAAGGGAAGATGCACGCCTCTTCCTAATGGTCTTCACAACACCATTATAAAGAGACTCAAATGAGAACCGGTCAATCCATCACAAAGGGATTTTGTATGTTTAGAGAATCTACCCATGAATAATGGCTTCATCATCTTCTACAACGTCACCATCAACCGGTTAATGTTCTTGTATTTGTTTGATTCTCTGAATTTTATCATGTTTGGTGAGATTAGATCATATTTTTGACTAATTTCTCAACAAATATTTCTCTCTTTGCTAATGCTGCTTTTATTGTGAAACTAGGAAAATAGGGTCTAGCCTATTGTGTGTTTGCATTTTTATTTATTTATTTTTGGATCCTCTTTATTATGAAGGAACACTGAATACTCTTTTTTTTAAATTGATGCAAGTGTTAACATCTCAAATTCTAAAAGTAATCATATTTTATCAAAAAAAAAAAAGTAATCATATTAAATTAAAATACAATATACATTTTTCTCAGTAAAAATACATTGGGCATGTTATTCAATCGCGCAACGCGCGTGTTGAAAACTAGTTTATAAATAAATATGGACGGGGTTGAATTTTGGGTGTAGATGATAGCGGAGGCGGTGGGGGTTTACTTCATCATATTTGCGGGGTGCGGATCGGTGGTGGTGAACAAGCTATACGACGGCAAGGTGACGTTTCCGGGGACCTGCCTGACGTGGGGGTTGATCGTCATGGTTATGATTTACACTTTGGGTCATGTTTCCGGCGGCCATTTCAACTGCGCCGTCACTCTCACCAACGCCGTCTTCCGCCGCTTCTCTTGGAAACTCGTAAGTCCATCACATACATTTTTCCATCTTTATGCTTAATTAACGCCATTTCATCCAATTGCTTACTCCCTTCCCTTCCATAATTATTTCGGATTTTATTTTCTTGATTAATTTACGCTAATTTTATTTATTAGCTAATTTCCAATAATCGGTGCTGATTTAAGGATCAGTACGGAATGTATGTTTAAACATATAATTTGCACATTTTTCGTACCAAAGAATTGAAGTATGTATGTAATCAAAACATTATTCAATTCTCTCAAATAAAGTCTACTTTACATTTTCTCGGGGATTTTAAGATTTTTTTTTGTAATAAAAATCGGATTTGGGGTACCCACTTTTTTGTGTAACAAAAAAGAGCCTATTCCTACTACCTGCTGTGACGTACTGCTCTGTGAATGTGTGAGTGTATTTGACTCTTTGGCACCGGCTCCCACTTAATTAAATTAGAAGAATACGTGAGATTCTTCTAATCTATTTATATCACATTTCAAGGTTTTCAATTCATAACAAATACTTTAACTTTTAACTTGTGTTATTGTTGTAATTTGGTACTTTAACTCCTAGAGGAAATAAATTAGTACTCCGTATCATACAAATGACCCTTAAACAAGAACGATGGAATAACATTATTTAACTTATATTTAGAGTTTGTATTTTATTAATAAATTACTGGAAACAGGTGTAAACCATGTGTAAAATGTTGGTTCTATTTGAAAAATATAAGTAATTAAAACATACTCCGTATGTACGTAGTACTATCTATTTTTTAGGAATGACTCTAGTCTGTGTAGAAAAATAATGGTTCTATGCGAAAATGGTATACATATATATATATAGAATTTTATTCATGTCCGGAATTCCGGACAGGAACCGCCGTCCGGACGGTGGCGTTTGGCCGCCTTCCCGGTGACATTTTTTGATGAAATTTTTATGGCATGTTCTCCATCAAGTCTAGTTTATCCACACAAAAATTCAGCCAAAAACTCAATCCGGAAGGTCGTCAAATGATTTTTGCAAGTTAACTGGTCCGGAAAATACATATTCCGGACGATCAGATGACGGGTCCTGTAAGATCAGCTGAGCGGAACGCCGCTCTATAATTCATATGTATATATAATATTTATACTTATAAGAAATGTGCTAACCACAATGCGTGATGCATGTAGACATCAATTAATTAAGAAACTAAAGAAAAAAAAATTAACTAATGGATTTGAGATCTAATTACACATTTTCCATTAATATTAGCTTTACCATTTTAGTTTATTGATATGCTCTTAAAAGCTATTTTTAGAATGATTTCAATTGTCTTAATGTGCCGCGGTATACAAAAATGTGATCTCTTAAGTAAAATTTTTAATTATAATAATTTATACTTGGCTTTTCTTTGAAATAATCTTCTAAATCTATAATTATTGTATCTGCTCATGTTAATGTCAATATCCTTGATTGGGATGAAAGTCAAACCTGCGACCTCCTCTTTGGGAGAGCAATAGTGATATCATCAGATCATAAGGTACTTAACATAATAATTTATATTTATACTTAAATAAATGATAATGACACATTACTCTAGCATTACTCTTCCGTGCTTTCTACGAATTTCTTTAATTGAGAAAATTCCCAAAATAGTATAGGAAAATATTCTAGTGGAGGACATCTTGTAAGGATGTTTTTACTTGGACTGTAATTTGCCCCAGACCAGACCAGACCAGACCAGACCAGTCCAGACCAGACCAGACCAGTTCAGACCAGACTAGACCAGACCAGACTTGGATAGTTATAAAAATACAAAGAAACCAGACCTTACCAGACCAGACCAGACCAGACCAGCAAATTACAGTCCAAGTAAAAACATCCTAAATGTACATTACATATTCTCCTATATATTCAATACGTCACACACATATATACACACACACACACACACACACACACACACACACACTTTGACGCAGTCAACTTCAAAAAATTATTTGAATGCCTTCCCGATCGAATTTTGAGCTGAAATTTGGTATGGATAAACCACTTCATGAAGAACAAGCTCAAAACATTTCATCAAAAAATTCCACCGGGAAGTGCCCGAAATGCCCTCGGCCGGACGGCGGTTCCCGTCAGGCCGGCTAGACAAGAAAAGGACTCTCTCTCTCTCTCTATATATATATATATATATATATATATATATATCCATTCCTTAAGATTGGTAGACAACTTGAAAAAATTGCAAAGTAATACGAATTAACAAATTATAATACGATTTTTTTGAAAGGAATATAATTAAAATACAACTTATTTCTTCAAAGAGAAGGCTTTATGTTGGGAAAAACTCTGGACTTTCCCGCTTCGTGAAGTTAAGATAGGCACTTAGGAAATAAGGTAGCAATGAGAGCACACGATTTAAATTCTCCAATATGGAGATTCTTCCACTATACAAAAGAATAGTAGGATTTACAAGGATGTTACAAAATTGTCTCACTCAATGGTGGTTCACTCAAGTTTGAGGATAGGAACTTCTCAAGCTATCTCTCTTCTCTCTCAAAGAGGCTCTCTAACTCTCTAGCTTTCTCACTCTAAGAAGTGGATTCTCTCTTACCAGGCCGGATAGTTAGGAATGAATCCCCCTACCCCTATTTATACTACTCAACCTTCACAATGAATAGTGGGAATGATTTCTATCTAAGGGTGGAGATTGATTCTCTAGAATGCTCCACACACTCTAGGAGTCTCCAAATTCTTCATAGGCTTCCGGAAGATTCCACACATCTCTAGAATATTCTAGAGGATTCCACACTATTCCACAAGCTTCTAGAGAGTTCTAGACTTCTCTAGGATTCTCTGGAACGTTCTAGAAAATTCTATACTTCTCTAGAAAGCTCTAGAATTTTCTAGAACCTCTCCAATTAAGGAGGGATCCCAACACTTTATGCTATAAAAAAAGATTCATTCCGTTCAAATTCTAAACTAGTTAATAATTTTTTCATAGTGCCAATTTTATTGCTACGTACTACGCATTTGATAAATTTTAGAATGCTTTCACTTGGATGGTAATGTTTTAATTAGTCTAATCTACTCATTCATGGTAAAGTCATATGTATTTTATAATTATCTAAAAAAAAAATAGTCTGATAAGGCCTCATATAGTGTGTATTACTTCGTGTATTGTGGAGTTATTTGAGTTCGGTTTTATGTCATTTCTTTAATTCTGATTTTGTGTGATCTTGTCTCGTGAAGTAAGTCAAGTACGTCTTATGATCTAATCTCATCTAATCTAATTTGAAAGGATGATACTCCATCCCTGAGGGCCCCCCAACACCGACCATATTGTATTCCTACTCCAAAAAATGTATTCAATTCCGTCCAATAAACACTCTTGTTGTAGCTACTCATAAATGTTGGAGCTACTGTTGACAATGGCTGCCTCGTACTACATAATAGGCTTGGTCATCTGGGACAATCTGAGTTTAACTCTCTTAGGTAAAACAAATTTATCCAATGTAATAAATTATCACACAGTGAGCCCGTTTGGAGACCTCTTTTTTCGGCTTATCAGGCTTATCAGCCATCTTTTTCACCAAACACGTAATTTTTACTTTCGTGTGATGAATTGTGTAATAAGCAGAAAAAGTAAGGTTGGAGTTACTTTTCTGGCTGTATTGGCTGAAGTTACTGTAGATGACCATTTTAGCTATTTTTACATGTAATTTTTTCTTTTTTTTATTAATAAAATATATTTTTAAAATATTTTTTTCTAAAATCAGCAGAATCAGCCAAAACAGCCACTTCAGCCAGAACTTCATAAATTTCAGCAGAAACAGCCAAAACAGCCGATTTTCGTGCTACCAAACGGGCTCAGTGTGTGTTCTTCTTGTCAATTGAGTAAAAACACTAAATTATCCTTTCTCAATTCTATTGGGTATGGGTATGTTTGGCAAATGAATTATTAGCCAACTTTTAGCTTGTTTGACCAATTTTAGTTGTTTCATTAGTCAAAGCATCCAATATTTATGTTTGTTAGATGACTTTTTAGATTGGTTTGTTGAGTTCCAAAAGCTGAAAAATGGCCGGTAGGAGAAGCCAGGGGCAGAGTTTCTATTCGACTGCTTCAGATTTTCCCATCAGGGGTATACGGCTCCAACATCCAAAGTAACCACAATTTGATGTTTTGCTTTTTTTTTTTCTAAGTTAGTCAAGGTTTACGTAACTAATTATTGTTTTGCTTCATGGGAAAAAAACAAATTGTTTTTCAGTTCTCTCTTTTTTGTTTCATTCTTTTGGCATGGGTTAGCCTTTTCTAAATTAATGATTTAAGTAATATATACTAGTAATTACTCTGTAATTGTTTTTAAAAAAACTTGTTTAACCAAATACTATTTGAAAAAATAATACCTAGTATATGCTTAACTAACATATTACATTATTTTATATTTCTACATATTAGTTATGCCTTTTCTCTTGAATTAAAATAGAATTTATTCAACATATTTTAAAAATTACAAATATATAAATGATTTATTTCTTTGAAGTAAGAGTAGTTATAAAAGTTTCATTATTAACAATGATAAAATACTTATTACAATAAGTATTATCATGGGTATGTTTGGCAAATGGCTGTTAGCTGTTGTTGTTAGCTGGTTGTGTCAGCTGTTTCCTAACAGCTGGTTGTGTTAGCTGTTTTGACCGGCTGGTTATGTTAGCTGATTATAGATAACTGTTTGGTAAAATTGGTTGTTTCGAAATGGCTGATAGAGTGTAAATTGAACCAGCCGAACGAATAAGCTGCCCCCCTTAGCTTCTTCAACAATCCATTTTTTCAGCTTTTCAAACTCAACAAGCTAATTTTAAAAGCCATTTACCAAACATCATTATTAGCTTCTTTGACCAATCAAACAGCTGAAATGGGTCAAACAAGCTAAAAGCCGGCTGATAAGCCATTTGCCAAACATGCCCAATTTGAATGTAATATTAAAACGTTTTAGTGTGATGATCGGAGTGAATTTGACAATTTCTCTTTTGGCAAATTTGGTGAAACACGTGGTATACATTTTTGGTTTTTCTTTCCCATACACACCTCTTCTAAAAATGGCACGTATTCCAGTACCTCACCTTCACACGACCAGACATCTCCCATGCAGTTTAGCAAATCTGCCTCTTTATGCAAGACCCCCGGGCACCTCATCTTCATGCCCTCAAGTGCAATATGCGCTACCTAAAAGGAACTATGTATGTATCTTGGATTACATCTTTGTCCCTCTCCAGTTATTGACTTATTGCGTACACCGCCGCGGACTGGAGTTGTTGCCCTGACACTGGCCGGTCCACAACCGGCTATTGTGTGTTCCTTGACGACAACCTTCTTTAATGGTCCTATAAACAGCAAACAATCTTCTCTCATTACAGTGCTGAAGCCGAATACCGTGTGGTTGCTAATGTGGTAGCCGAACTCTGCATGTTGCGCAATCACATTCTTAAATTTCACGCCCACCCCCACTCCAAAGTTTTTGTTGTTTACTATGACAATATCAACACCATTTATATGTCCGACAATAATGTTTACCATCAAAGAATAAAGTACATCGATTGGATATTCATTTAGTCCATGAAAAGGTTACTCGCGGCGAAGTACGTGTCCTTCATGTATGTTGCATCTCGCCATTAATATACTGACATTTTCACCAAATGTTTACCCCGAGTATTATTTGATGACTTCCGTACCGGTCTCGGTGTTTGTCACCCTCCTACTTCCATTGCGGGGGCGTGTTATTCGTACACTTACGTATGCATGGGAATGCATGCATAGTCCACGTCGCAATACCGGTCCTACTCTCCCGGGCAAATTCTATCTACTCCAGCTGTTATCATTTATCATTACTTAGCCTTGAATTGTATATATATCTTGTTGCAAGCAGTTAGCTACAGAGTTTATTTAGCCATCTGAATTGTATCAATATGGGTGGCATAGTAGTAGATCATGGCTATTGGATAGTATTTGTAACATTATTTCAGCGGCTATTTAAAGCACACTAATACGAAGCCAAAATGAAAAGTCTGACGTTTTTAGATTGAGTAAAATAAAAGGTCTGTTTAGGTTGAGTAAAATTATGCATGCCATGAATTTTTTTCTTAAACATAATTTCCATTTGTATTATTTCACTAAAAAAAAATACATCTATCATATGACATACATTAAAGCAATGGAAAAAATAAAATAGTTTTGCATAGATTTAAAACAAGAAATGATACTACGTAAATAGGTATATTTATAGATCAGATTAAAAATAAGCAAGCTTATGGTATTATAAACGTGCAGGTTCCTTTGTATATCATAGCGCAATTAGCAGGTTCCATTCTTGGTAGCGGCACATTAGCCTTGATGTTCGAAGTAACTCCGGAAGCTTATTTTGGTACTCTTCCGGCGGGTTCCAATTGGCAGTCGTTTGCTATAGAGATTGTCATTTCATTCCTTCTCATGTTTGTCATTTCCGGCACTTCAACCGATGATAGGGCAACAACAACGGTACGCCATCTAACACTCATGCATTACATAAATTTCAGGACGTCTAATGAATTGGAGGCCCCGATTCCAAATGACTAATTGAGATCCCTAAAACAAGAAATGATAGAAACGTTAACAACAGAATACAAATAGACTAGATAAATCTTGGTAAATGTCTCCCGACATTTACCCCACTGCTTTTGGTGGTTTGCCTTTCCGGGGTAAAAAAAAGGGAAAAGTACGGAAAAGGTACTTGACGAGGCACACCTTCCGGTATTTTTCTTTTAATTTTGCAGGCACTTTTGAAAATCGGAGTTACTTTTAACGGTTTTTTTCAGACGTTTTTAACGGCATGACCCTCTTGTGATAACGGAATTCCAACACATGAACCACTTTAGTAAAGAATGAAACACATGACCCTATCTGAAAATGGGCCCAACCACAAGTACATTCTCCGTACTTTTCCCAAAAAAAATAGACTAGACAATTAAGTGAAATATATGTTTTATAATGTTCAAATCACACAAATTAGACTATTTAAAAGTTATAGACCTTTTGAAATCTGGAATATTACATAACATTAAAAAAAATCAACCTATAACTACTACATACTAAGTTTTGGGAGGCCCCTATAAGAGTGGGTCTCGGGCCAAACACATATTGCACCTCTTAAAAGTCGATACCGATAAATTTGACAAGCATTCATTTAACTTGAGGTAAACCGGTCCAGATTCCCAACCGCCTTGTCAACATTTTGGTGGAGGGACCACACCCCGCCACCCCGGATGCTTGTACGATTCCCATGCCAATTCTTGATGATTTGGTTCATCAATTTTTGTTTTACATATTCTTACTCCGTAATTATAAATCTAATGTATTTATTGTATGTTTAAGACTTGTATTAATTCTATTAATCTTGACTTGCATATATATAGACAATGAGGGGGTTTGGTAAATGGCGTTTCGGTCGAAAAATGGCGGTTTGACCACTTTTAGTGTTTTCAATAAGTGAAAAAGTTGTTTGGTAAATAGCCGTCGACATTGGCGTTTTTGGACGAAAACACTGAAATGAAAATGCTACAAATAGGAGAGTTTTGAGTTAGCGTTTTGAAATGTAATGAGCCGAGGCCCGAGGTAGCAATGATGACGTGGAAGTAAGATGAGAATGGGGTGGATATATGAAGAGGAGGAGGAGGATTGCATCGTCCTGGATTCACGTCTTGTCTCTAGGGTTTCACCGCTAGAATTTTATTTACCCGCTATCGTCTTTTGGCGAGCGGTGCCATCTTCCGGCAATTCGTTCGTGGATAGGGAGATCGGTTGGAGGACTCACGGGCAGATCAAGGTGATGAAGAAAGAAGATGAAGTGAAGGTGATTCGACCCCCTCTTGAACCGCCACCGGTGATTCTTGGAAGGCTGAGTGAAGAAATTTGTTTTTTTTTTCTTTTATTTATTTTAATGGTCTGAATTTGTCTGTGTTTGTTTGTTCTTTTATCTCTTTCGATATTAAGACTGTGGTTTTGAATTTGGATGTGGGTGATGGAATGACTGCGATAACCGTCTTTGGCTCATTTGTGCCTATTAATGGATCAACGAGTTATATTGCTGAGGCGATAAACTCTGAGTCTGGTTCGAAGGACGGCGGTTGTCAGGAGTTGTTTTGTCGGATTACCTACTATTTGAATGATGTGTTATCAATTTAAGCCGATTTCTTTCAAAAAAAAGTTTTTTTAATTGTTTTTTATTGTAACTTTGAAAGTTAAAAAATCATAATATAAACTTCAATGTTTATTTATTATTTAAAAATTCTTTTAATGTGTGACAACTTCATAGAATAAATTCTTCCCAAAAAAAACTTTATACGGAGTATAATAAATGTTTTAGTACTCTCTTTGCATTTTAAATGAAAAATATTCATTTTTTGAAAATATTTCATTATTTTTAATATTTTTGTTTATGTTAAATTTTTTAGTAGTTTCATTTCTTATCTTTCATACATTTTCTACTTTTTCATCTCCTATATCCCAATTTTCAAACTTTTTCATTTTTCCCGCATTCAATGCATGCCCGTTTTAAACTATTGTCTCTTACTTTTTACATTTTGACTACAATACTCATTACAATTATGTATTCTCTAAGAAAACCATGTACTTGCAATTAAAAAATAGGAAGAAATTGTATGTATTATGATGACAACTCATTTTGAAATTTATTCAAAAAGGTAAATAATAACTAATGGACAAAGACAAAATAAAAATGAGGACTTGATTGGAGATAAATTTATAAATTCACTATTATGATTTGACAAGTTCCCTAATCAGGATATGACTCGTCGTTGGTAGCTAATATGAGTCGGGACATGATAAAAATTTGGTAATCCGCATGACAGATGTAGTGTTGTTCCAAACTTTTCACGTGAACACCAATTTTTTGAAAAAGTAAAGAAATACATGCACATGATTGATCTACTTAATTATATTCCTTTCCTATTTTCTTTACTTCTTTTACTAGTCTTTTGTTGAAGACATTAGTGTTAATACATTGCATTATTATACTATTATTCAAAATGTAAATTATAAAGTCATTTTGAACACTGAAAACTAAGTGTTAGATATATCACTCCAAATGTTTAATTCTTTTTTAATTCTTTATTGTTATTTTTTCACTCTCCATATTAATCCTACTCTGCTAATATTTAAATTTAATACAATTGATTTTAAGCCCAACTCAACTAACATTTCTGACTCCGCTTCTGCGCCACTCACTATTCTGACCCCACCTCTTCATTCAGTCATGAATGCATGATATGGACCATATGCATGGTAATGTTTTATGTACTTTTATCGAATAATTCTAAAATATAATCTTATGGTATATTTGCGCAAAATACATGCAGGTGGGACCTTTGGGTGGAGTTGTAACCGGGATGACCATAGCTTTAAATGTTTTTGTTGCTGGGTATTTTTTCTTTCTCCAACCATATACACATATAGGAATATTCCCTAATTTTACATACTCATGTATTAATTTATGGGAAAATTCCTGATAAAGTAAAAATAATGTGACATTTGATATCATCACACAATCACACATTAATATGACGATGTTAGTGTCATAATCTCATATAGTAGACACTATTTTTCTTGGACAATAGTTCCTCATATTTATATTAAAAAAATAGTTTTCATCTTTTGAAGTATTATTGTTTTTATTTCTATTTAGCGATATTTCTGTTCATTTATTTGTTTATGGAGTAATCCTTTTGTTCCTTCTGTTTCATAATTCCACTTTTGGTTCTACGAGTTTTATGTTATTTCCAAATTTGATCCACGTCTTTTGTCTTGTCCATTTTTGGTACTTGACTAATGTTTCTTGACCATTTATTGACCTTCTCCGGCGATTTTAACCACCATAATTACTGCCAGAAGGACCGTATATGCGCTAAAACCCAATAGTCATGTACCAAAATTGTGGAACCGGTGCGGTACTCGTATAATAGAACCAAAACTGGAATTTATTCATGATAAAGGATAATATGGTTATTTTACAGCTTTAACCCCTAGAAAGAATGAAGAAGTAAAAATGATCCATAAAAGATAAATGGTGAAATGATAGATATAGGGATAAGTCGAGAAAATAAAAAATTAATATAGTTCAATTTAGCAAAATGTTCATATTGTTGAACAACCCAAAAAAATTGAAGTATATCGATCTTATAAAATTGAATTGATAACTATGCAGGCCCGTTTCTGGTGCATCGATGAACCCAGCAAGAAGCATTGGGCCGGCGGTTGTGAAGCGTACATATAGAGGTTTGTGGGTATATATTTTTGGGCCAGTAATCGGAACCATCGCCGGAGCATTTGTGTACAACGTGCTTAAAGTCACTCAAAACCCAATTGACAATTCATCCAAAAGTAGATCATTCTTTAAACAACTTAGTACTTAATTCATAATTATATACGAAGTATTCGCTAGATAGTTTCGTATATAAATTTTAATTAAAGAGAAGAAACTGGATTTAGTGGGTAATGTGCTATGGACGGGAATAATATATTTTTTTTGTGAATTTTGTCCTTACAAGCTTTTATACATATCCATTTTGTCAACCGCCTTTTGAATGTGTGTTTATTTGAGAAGAGTTGTGTACCAATATAATGTACCATTAGCCATTAAATCCTTTTATTTTTATCACTTAAAATAATACTAACCCTTTATGTGTGAGTGACTAAGTGTATATGAGCATGCAAAAAAATGTTATAGCATTATATGTCTCTTAAAAAGTGTTGAGTTAAAGAGATTTTATCATTGGCAGATCTCTCCAATTTTTCCAAAAACAATCATTCTCTTATTTGAAAATTTCACTATATTGTAATCCCAGTTGGGAAATTTTCTCATTTGAAACACATTTTTTACTCAAGGATAAATAGGGAAAATTGCAACTTTTGTCCTGTAAGTTTCAGTTGTGTCCGTTATTAGTCTTGTAACTTTACTTAATTGCAAATTTGGTTTTGTAACTAATAAATCTTTTCAATTTAAGGACTTTCCACCGGAAAATATACTTTTCGAAAGAAAATTCGACGTCGGTGACATCTTTTAGGTGAATTCCAAAGATTTATGTGTTACATGGCTAATAACAAGCACACCTGAAAGTTACAGGAATAAAATTGCAAATTTCCCGAGATAAATATTAGTGTACAATCAAATTGTTCAATAAAACGTTGTCCAACATAGTATTATCGTCATTACTTGTGTCAAGAATCGAGATTTCATCCTAAAAGGTCAATCTAATAGGAGGAGTAGCCCGATATTTTTATATTATTGTTCATTAGTTTGAATTTTCCCGGTGTGGGAAATATTTCAATACCCCTTCCTCACGACCAAATATTTTGCCTAGACTGTGACCTCATTTATATTTTAATCAATTCATTCATCGTCAATTTCATAGTCGTCGTCATTTTGGCCCAACACCATGGTCATATCCCATGGATCAATATGGATCTGATGCAAATCAAGGCTCGGAATTCCATTCTAAAAGATCAGCCTTATAGAAGGAGTAGCTTGATATCTTTATATTGTACTCCCTCCGTCCTGCTAAGATTGTCTCATTTTACCTTTTCGGGAAGTCGCACTAAGATTGTCTCATACCAAATTTGGTAAAGTTTGTGTGGTTCTAAATCATTCTTACTTTAATTTATTTTTACTTTTTCAATTAAATATCAACCACATAAACAAACTTTTCTTAATAATCGTGTCACCTTCTTCCGTCCCAATGTTAGTGGGACGGAGGTAGTAGTTCATTAGTTCATATTTTACCAGTGTGATAAATATTTCAATAATAACTTGATTGCAATAGACAAAATATAACAAGCTAAAGTACACCAAAAAGCAAGATTTATTCACATTCTCAAAATAACTTGTTTTTTAATGATACTAAACGCTTTCAAACGACTTTATAACCAAATATCTTAGCTTATTAAATAATTCTATTCACAAAAATCTATATATGGAGGCCTATATGATTCCAACGTGACTACTCATTTATTCTAGTAATTTAACCATTGGTGACCCACTATGATAGTAAGTGACCATGGTGGAAGTGTGGAACCGCATAAGCTGTATGACTTAGTAGTGGAGACATGTACGATTTCATATAATTACTCATTCTATTCATCTTTAAATTTCAACTCATGTTTCATTTACAGTCTAAAACCTCGTTTTTTATTCTTGACTTATTTGGGATATCGTGGTTGAGTACTAAAACTCACTAGGGAGAGTCAGACACAAGATGTCAAATCTAAACTAGGGTATAATATATTGGCTGGGGCCTAGTGTAATCTAATCTTTTATTAATTTTTATAGTAATCAGTTTCAATTTTTCATGTATATTTACCTGGTTATCAGTTTCAATTCATTCTTACCAAGATTTTTGGATTTGCCTTGGTTGGGCAAAATGTTGTTTCTAATTACTAACTAGCTGAAATGATAATAATGACGATGGTGATGGATGTTGATAATGATGATGACAACGACGACGATGACAACCAGAATGATGATAGACTCATTTCCCACAATAGAAAACAATGTTTGAAACAGTCATCTTATTATTTGGGGAGCCAATTGTCAACATACATGTAGTTCCTAGCAATAATACTATAATAGGATGAAAAAACGATAAAAGGGTAAATTCAATTAGAAATTAAAGTAATAAAATTAGACAAGTAAAGAATGTCTTTAGAAATATGATAAAGTATTACTATTAATAATATGAAATGTACCGTTTAATTTGCCTTGAATGTTATGGGTATTCAACTAATATTGGAATGTAAAGTGAAATTATGAAATGATGACATAGATTGATTAATAATATGTATTAGATTTACTTTATGTTCCAATATTAGTTGGATACTCATACACTCAACACAAACTAAACGGTACATTTCGTAGTATTATACAATAATATCCTATCACATTTCTAAAGGCGGTCTTTACTTGTCTGGTTTTATTACTTGGGAGAAAGCTCAAAAATGACATTAAGGTTATTTACGAAGTTCGGATAAGACATTAAACTTTTAAGTAGACCAAATAAACACAAGATCAACTTATTTGGACTATGTTTGGCCACCCACTTATAACTCCGCTAAACCCACCATTAACTGCTTACGCCTCTGTACTCAATTATTCACCGGCTTAGACAACTCCACTCCCGCATCTCTGTTTCACTTTCCATCGCCATTAAGGTCTATCTCTAAACCTTTTCAATCCTCCCTCCATCTTCATTCTTCAATTAACAGCTCGACGTACTCCGTACCCATTGAGCCCTCCAACAAATCCCAGCCTCACCTTCTCCTTTCACTCTCGTCGCACCCTTCTCCGCCCACACGTCACATATGCTTTCATGGAATAATCTTCTATCGGAGCCCAAGACAGAAAGTGTGTTGGCATTTCATTCTACTATTATGCTGTTTTCAGTCCAGACATGTCGTTATTTTCCTCCAAAATGAATGAAAATCAAAGCTTTGACCATCAGTTCACATATATCGTTGTTTCAAAATAGTGGGCGGAGAAAAATTACCAGAAGGATTAAGTTCTCAATCTAGGCCAACCAAGTGGAATTAATTCACAAAGGAGAAAGAATCTGGGCAATCAATTGCTCCTCTGCTAATGTTTTCATTGCTCTATCCAATTGCAGGTGGAAGTTGTGATTCTTGTAGAGTTCTAGGTCTGCCGGCCAGAGTCGGGTTTTGGGCGAAGAGAAAATATATGTGTGGGATTTGGGTATTTCAAAAGTTGGCTGCTATTGAGTTTTGGACAAAGAAAATTGAGGGCAACATCCGTTAATTTAAGTTTGACGGAATAAGTGTCCTAATATGACGTAAAAACATATAACTTGTGTTTATTTGGTCTACTTAAAAGTTTAATGTTTAATCCGAACTTCGTAAATAACCTTAGTGTCATTTTTGAGCCTTCTCCCTCATTACTTTCTAGTTCAACTTTTTCATTCTTCATCGGAATTTTATGGTATTTGAATTATTAAATTGTAATAGATAACTTGATCCAAGTATACAATGGTATTAGCAGAAATTGCCCTAAATAAGAGTAAAAAAATTGCAAAATTTCAAAATATAAGTATTATATTTTTCTTCAAAGATGAGTAATTACTGTAATGCTTGAAAAATAATGTCAATTTTGACATTAGTACTACCGTATACATGTCTGATAATGTTTTTTCTAATATAAAAGGACGGATTTTTATATTAATATCAAGAAATCATACAAGACAACCTTCATACAGTTATGCCAGAACCGATCATAAGTCCTAGGAATTGACATAGGATCAACCACCTCATACAAACAACCTGATCCGCAAAGACACAAAACAAGCAAATTTAAGCCTAAAACAACCCTAATTGAAACACTGCCTATCAAAAGTACTCCATAAATCCATATATCCAAAATAAAACCTTTTTACAAAACTTTTCCTAACACGGGGGTGGTTCTGGAGGAGGATGAGCTCTACTATTATCTACGCAGACCAAAAGAAAGCAATCATAAATCTCTGACCAGACGAAGCTGGCCAGGACACCAAAACAACTCCCCACATCAAAGGAGACAAAACAACCCAGAGCGCCAATGCCCGAGAAAGAACCGTCAAAGCACGGAACAAACACAACCAGAAAAGAAGAATTGTCCACTTGAGTCATACCTCTATCAAGAATCTTCGCTACCTAGAACAAGACATGGAATTGAATTTGCTACCTACTTGGATGCGTCGTTCGTGCTCTTTCAGCTTTACATGGATTTTGAGGCTGGACAATGACTGTATTCTTGGAGGCAGGCAGACCGCAGCGGCACAGCAAGCTGCAGTGCGAGAGGCCAGACTCCACACTTCGCCTTTCGCCCAGGGTTTACTGCTGCCATGTTAATCGCAATTTCATGTCAGATAATGTTTAATTATGAAAGTTTAACTTACTCCTATTTGGAGAAAAAATATCGCTCTTATGTTAAAATGTTGAAGTATCTTTTGATAATGCGGACATTGCTATTTTCGATACGAGTATTTTGAAATTTTTCCAAGCTATGATAGCTCGAAAGTGCCCTTTAATTTGCATTAATTTGATTTTCTTTAGTTTATTAGTTTTATTGTTGTAACATTATTGAGCATATAATATTAAATACTATCCAAACCCCTTCTAACCAAACATAAGCATGATATACTTGATTTAGGGAGCATTTAACAATAATGAGGTATATGCAATAGTGAAAACCTGAAATGTTACATCGATTATAATTTGAAAGTTGAAATCTCAAACTAATACGAGGTATATACTTGTTTTTCTTCAAATCAGCATATTGTAGAATCAATTGACAAAGTAAAATGTGAGCATTAATGGACTTCTTGTATGACTCAATTTTGTAGTACGTCCTAAATGTACTTTATGGAATGTATACTGACAATTATTCACCACACTAAAAACATAAACTTCCTCTATGTCAACTTTAATCACAAAAAATATAATTAATTACTCCACAAAAATGTAGATATATTCATGAAATTTTATGTAGGGGCAAATCAGATCCTGTAACTGATAAATATATCAATATCAAGACATT